AACTCAATAAAACTAAAATGTATCTCGTCCATCTAAAAGGTCCCTCCGTAACAGAGAGGTAATAAAATCCGACATGTTTTATCTCTTGTAATTCGTGTGTTCTTTACCACTTCTGATAAAAGGGTGGAGTGGAAATGTGATTTCACTAATTCCAGCTTGACTGACGAGATTTCCGGCTTTCCCTTCGTACTATATTCTCAGTTCCCCACACGGGCCTTATCTGTAGAATTTCGTTTTCATCGCATCCCTGTGCCTCTACCACGAGTTTACTGTGACATTTGTCGTCTGGAAATTGTACATCGCCCCTAACGGTCACAAGAAGTAATAAAGTTTTGTATACAAATATTTTACCCGGTCGCTAGCGACAAGAAATACCACTGAAACTCGTGGTAGAGGTACAAATCGCTGGTAGCGCGCTCGATTCAAATAAAATTGATCACGAAACTAGATTCGCGTAAATTGAAGTGCATTGAATTAATTCTGTTACTGATTGAAAAGTGGGAGACACTGGAAAGGGTGAATCACAATGAAATGTTGAGTTTTTTTTGTTCCTGCTTTTTTGTCTCTCTCAATGACATAGTGAACTGCGTAGGTAGAATTGTGTGTTACGTAATTATTTACAGCGCACGTTTGCCTGTGCAATTATTCTCAAGCAACTTAAGTTACGAGCAGTTAATTATCTGTTGTTGATTGAGTGCAGCGAGCGGCTCACTTCCCACGAACTTATAACAAAAACTTAGCGGGTTCTTCCGAGTACTAACTTGTAGCAAACTTAAATTGGCCGCATAGCCGTTGTTTACAGCCAAGTAGCGGTACCCAATGGCTCGGGAAATTATTAAGGCGGCGGAAGTTGGGCGGCGCCCGCCCTCGACGCGTTGCCATAGTGACGCGGTCTTGAATTACTTAAACGAATGATGGACTTACCCTAGAATAACGTTCGATTGTTGCCGGAAAAGCCTTTGTTTACTTTAATGGTTTCTTTAACACATAAGATTTAGATTCCATTTTATTTTTAAATTAACCGCATTCCTACCTTCTAAAAGCTATACTATAATTGCAATTTAAATAAAAAAATACTACTAGTTGAACTAATGGTTACAAAGTGACGCTGCTTTGTTCATTGTTCCCATACTTGCTTGGTTACACTACATGCACCGCCACGCCCTGTTATAATATTTTGGTTTAAAACTACACTCGTGAATTTAATTTATGCCTGTCACTGCACAAATACAACATATTTTGCTGTTGTTTAGCATGTACGACGAACGTGCCCTTTGTCGAAAATTCGCTTTGTTGACATCAAAGGCATCAAACCAACAAGAGTTTTCTGTGTGAGTTTCCAAAATAATTAATCGCTTCCACACCCCCTCATCTCGCGACTAATTAAATCTACGTGATTATGAATGAAGTTATAATGAATTAACAAGTTTAACGCGGCCGACTCCATGATGAAATGTCCCGCCGTCTTTTAAATCTTTTAAAACAGTAAATGTTAAGTCTGCTTAGTTTAACTTGGCTATACAAACCCTTATTTAACTTTGCTAGGATTAATAGTGCAACTTTCTTGTTCCACGTTACTGGATGTCGCGACAGAGAGGTCTTTGACCGACGCCTTCGGGTTACCATAGCAACGAATACATGGTAGCTCTTTGAAAAAACATATTATGAATAGACTTTAAGAACTTTACAATATTCTTGATAAAAATCATGTGCCCCAAGAGTTGGATGGTCTGGTATTCGGATATATTTTATATTAAACACTTTGTGCCATAATTTTATGACGAAAACATGTTAAATTTTTGACATAAAATGTTATCTTTACTTTTTTTTTTGAGGAAATTATAAATTCGAATTATTGTGGTAACTGTGATGTTCAACAATATGCTGCTATTTTCGTTATCATTGTTAGTACGACAGCCTTCTCTCTTGTCGAGTACCTAATATTATTATTAACGGCATTACTCGTCTGCGGCGCGAATAAAGCGGCGTGGAATTATTTATCTTTCGTATCCAAAGTTACTAATGTTCATCTTCTATTATATTAACCAACCCGTGGGCTATTTATTATATAGCTTCCGTTGTGGCAAATTTAGTTAGGGCTGCCAAAAAGCAAAGTTTTATATCTCTAAAGTTTGCGATAAGGGTCTCAAAGCAGTGTACTTTTATGCAAATACGAGAATAAACGTAAATATTGCTATAATATAACTGTTTACTTTGAAATACTTCGGGTGGGCTCGTTATTTTCTTCTTACAGCCTTTGTTTGATGTTCGGTCGAATATTTTTACGGTCACTGAGCATTTTATGTAGGTTAACCTCTTGAATAGTCTAACTGCAATTAATTTGGCATATTTCCTTACGTCCACCTCGCGACGCAGAATGGAGCATTCTCTTTGTTGCTTGTAATGGAATCTTTTATCTTTTAGTATATTGTCTGATTTAATTTACTGAAACCTCACAATTCCTTAAGCTTCCTACAATATTGGTCGCTTTGTATTGTATACGTACGTATGTAACTAGATTGAATCCACGTTCATTTTCTTCGTTTTTTTTTTATTTTGCAGAGCGTTTCTGTCTTTCCTATTGAAATATCATTCCATTACACTGTAATTTAAGAAAAAATCATTTGTTATTTGTAACTTTTTTTTGTTCTCATGAAAAATGACACTCAACCTTTTGTTATGTCGCTTTTTTTTAGAATCACACATAGAATTCGAATACATTTATAATCATTGATGTTATTTCTGCAATTAAGACATTCTGTGATTGAATATTGTATGCTGCTTTAAGTAAAGTACTTACAATACAATAATATTCTAATGTTTCCGAAAGTCATAAATGCAAATCAGTATTGTCTATGAACATATAAACATTCGACCCTGAAATAGCCCACGTCACATACGAGTATGTATCGTTAGCTGATGGAGCGTGAATAGGACATGCCGGATCCGCGCTCCGCTGCGCCCATTGTCGTCTTCCGTGTTGCATTATTGCATATCTCTACACGTGGAACGTTTCCGCGCACGGGCCACGGTAAACAAATTGTAGCACAGACGTGACGCACGTTTAACGGTTCCTGTAGCTCATTGATGAGTTGAAATGTTGGCTTTATCGTTGGTGTGACTCATCGCTCTTGCTTGGCCCTTTTATTGCAGTATATATACGCTCACCGTAGAATAGGTTCAACCACAAAGTTCCTACATAAGGATAACTTCCTTCACTCCTCACGGTTCTTAGTCAACTCCATGACCTCTCTATTCGTGCTCACTTTGTTCTTCTTTATCTGATCACTATATGTCATTCTTGTTCTTTTTTTCTTTTCCCTTCTATTTTCACCTCAATTATCATTCTTGCAAATTTATAATTACGAATAAAATGTCCAAATATTTCCCCCGTCTATTCCCTATTGTATTCAAAAGGTTACTTTCTTCCCTAACCCATTTCAAAAGTTCTTCATTTGATATATTCTCAATTTATTTTATTTTTTCCATTCGCATCCAGCACCACATTTCGAATTATTCCAATTTCGACCTGTCTTTCTTTGTGATTGTCCATTTCGCCTGAAAAATGCATATACGATTTAAAAAAGATTCACCAAAATTAGGCACTTTAGGAAAAAAATTAAAAAAAAAACAAGTAGAATATAGTTTACCTGATGTCTGCAATTTTATTTAAATGTACAATTCATATGAGTACTGTTAAATTCTTCTAACTTATTTATTCAATTATATTGTTGGTCGTATGAATATAATCGATTTCTTAAGTCGACGAATGAAACTTAAACTCAAAAGGCTTTGTCAATATTGGCACAGCCGTGGAAACGTATTGTAAAACTTCGATGATAAATTTTGATACGACGACGTCTACGATCAAGAAATAATATTTTCGGTATTCAAGTACCTTTACGTAACATTGAAAGGTTACTTTAACCTTATTTACCTTTGTTAAGGTTAAAACTCTAATCTTTTTGGAATATATGCAATCTTTCCAGTGACTAAAATAACTATTTCCCGTTATTGTTTTTAATTAAAATGCGATATCTTCTAAGTAGTTAATCATATTAAACTGTGTTTTCCTCGACATTAATTGTCGTTCGTGTGTAAATATTTCAGAGCTATATGAATTAGCACGTACGTTTTGCGACTGGTGAATCTATTAATGCTTGAAAATGTTATTTCTTGATTACCTATAAATATTGGACTAAGTGGGCTTAACAGGCCTTTTTATATTAATCAGCACTTATCAGAAGACGTGATCATCATATACTGAGGAGGCTGATTAAGCCCCCATACAACACACGATTAGGATGGAACCGGTGCCGATGTGCGGTAAGTGGCATCCGCGCCTTATCAATAACAGTCTGAGTCCAAAACCCTAAAGAAATGTCATTGCTGTTAAACGAATCAATATAGAATCATTAAGATAATTTCTACGTTCGTTAACATGACTTTCACATTCAATTTCAATCTCATTAAACTTTTCAGGTTAGAAGTGCATTACAACCACTTTATGTGTTGAATAATAATTCATACACACAATATAGACGTCACGTTGTTTACCTTCCCAATTAAACTTAAGTAAAATCAACTATGTCGTCGTTAAGCGCGAGTCACACGTGAAACATCGTCATAAAACTACCTCTATAAACGTTACGCGGAAAACGCGGACCCTCGTGAACAACTGAAACTACCTCCACAGCCTTCAGCTCTAGTGTGTAAGTCGTAACATTGTTGAATAAACAAAGAAATCTCCAAATACGACTTTACAGATCTCCAAATGGTAGTCTAAGTACTTACGACATGTTTGTACGTTCTCTGTTATTGATTGTATTCTTAAATAGATACTGTGTGGGTTGTTAATTTTTTTTTCCTTAGTTATGCTTTTCCCTCAGCAGCTTTTACGCCTATTGCGCAATACACCAACTGTAGATTTTCTGTCTTCTCTTTTGGTGCGTAATACGCTTAACTTTCTGATTTTAATTTTTGGTTTTCTTTGTTTCCAGGGCACGAAATTATGGATAATAATGGAATATCTCGGCGGAGGCTCCGCGCTGGACCTTATGAAGGCGGGGAGCTTCGAGGAGATGCATATAGCAGTTATACTACGGGAGGTGTTACGTGGCCTTGACTACCTGCATTCAGAACGGAAGCTGCATAGGGATATCAAAGCAGCTAACGTGTTATTGAGCGAAATGGGAGATGTCAAACTAGCGGATTTCGGTAAGTACATCAGATTCCTTATCCTCTACAGCTTTTCGGTATGAGATCATCGGTTATAGTTAAATTTGCGTGTCAATACAAAGTCGCGATTGTCGCTAACGTAGCTGTTTGAATAGCGATTCCATCGCAACTGTTTCCGTAGTCTGCTGTATAGAATTTCGTGGTTTAGTGCTTAGTACATAATGTATAACGTAATAATTTGACCTCTATTTGTCCCGAACAAAAAGCCTCATTACTATCTGGTTTCATTACAGGTCGTTAAGCATACGTAGTAAATTATCTATATTGTCATGAAATAGATCTGAATAAATTGGATTGAATTGGTTGTATAACACAGGCATAAATTTCGTATGAAGTTAATAGGACGATGCATGGCAGCTGATAATTAATAAACGACAGTTTTTTATCGGCAGCTGTCTGCACCAGTACCGTGCGAGCTTTTACTAATAAAAAAATAGCCAAATTTTTTCCGCCGGATATTGGATGCCAATCCACTCTACGCGTTTAAATTTCTGTTATAAACAACAGAATACGAGAGAGCAAAACAATTTATCTGATTCAGAATACGAGTACTTATTATAGACAGACCCATATAAATTAAGTAGAAGGACATGTTAACAAGATCCAGCAATCGAAAGAATAAATAGGCGCAGTCTTGAGCTTTTGTCCTTAAATACTCGGGACTCCTTTGGATCCCATTGAGAATGGATTGGGGTCGAGTGTGTCTTTTGTTATATTATGTAGCCGAACAAGACGCTATTGCTTTTGTTTATCTATGGAAGGCTCCGGAAGGGACGCCTAAGTGAGAGATGAATAATCAGTTCTGTCTGTCTTATACTTTGTTAGTAGTGATTAGGATAACTGTTTAAAGTACCCACTTAATTTTAATTTTATTTTCCATTGCAAATTTCGTATTATTTTGTAAGTACATTTTGTAGCAAATCAGCGTTATCATTTAAAGTGGTAATATTATTTATTCATTCAGTCCACTGAAAATTAAACATGAAAGCGAAGTAGTTCTTTAATGAATATAAACCAAATAATTTGGATTATTTACGTGATATAATTTATAAATAAAATAAAGGAGGAAAGAGTTTGGGTTTTCATTAATTCATCTGCATTTAAGTAGACATCTGTTTGTTTAAATCTAAATGTTCTCCTCACCGGCGTCACTGAAAGAATCACGTTACAATGTATGTTGTCGTCCTAGCCTGAGGGATTGTTTTCATAATAATATTTGGTAACTTCACATCGGGTTGCTTGACTGCCCTTCGGATTAACTTAATCGCGATATAAAAAACGTTAAGCCGACGGTGTCGGCCATGTTTTCAGGGACGTTTAATATCTCTGCGACTAGATTTTAATTAAAGTCACTACACCTAGGGACAAAATATTTAAGATTTACATTTACCAGGAACCCCATTACAAGAAAATTTTCAATTTTATATTAATATTTGTATATTATCTTATCTAAAAATCCATTACTTGTTTTCCGTGAACACTCTAACGCAAATCCTGTAGTTAGATGTTAGACGAGTAAGAAACTCAGCAACAAAGTCGTCAGCGCTCGAAGGCATCTCGATGCTGATCAAAGATGTGCACGCAAATATGAGTTAACCCCTACATTACCCCGGGGGCACTTTGGCACACTTCCAATGTTGAACCGTTGGTAGAAACGCGCTATGTAACCGCCATACACAATGCTCTTGCATTCGAACCAGTGGCAGCGTTACTTAACATGGAAGCAAATTTTCTAGTATTCTTCGTATAATTTTATTCTTCATATTCATTTACCTATGTACCTAACCATTCTGGTACTTATACCAGCCTGATTGTTACTAATATTTAAATAGGAACGGATAAAAAATGTACTTCTACTTGAAACATTTATTTTCGCAGCAGTAGGCCTTCTTGTGAAAGAGTTCATCCAGGAAATTACTGTCACCTTATCTATTTCAGCCGCCAAGTTTCGGTTTTAAAGGGTAAGGGTGCTGGTTAAATTATAGGCGCATGTGACATGTCAACTTATGTCTTAGTGTGATTTAAAGTTAAAGTGCAACTACTATGGACAGGCTCGTCGCTTACCGCCAGGCGCACGTAGTTCGTGCTGTCACTTTCATTCATCATTAAAAAAATGTAAATAAACCCTATTTGCGATTATGTTTTCATTGCACAAAGTCTAAAATATCTATGCATTATGTTCTCATTGACATGGCTGTTATACTACTTGACGGGAATGTCTCTAATTTTAGGAGTCGCGGGCCAATTAACAAATACAACTAGCAAACGGAATACATTCGTCGGCACGCCTTTCTGGATGGCGCCTGAGGTCATAAAGCAGTCCTGCTACGACAGCAAGGCTGATATCTGGTCACTAGGCATCACCGCCATAGAACTTGCAAAGGGCGAGCCGCCAAATTCAGAGCTGCATCCCATGAGGGTGCTATTCCTTATACCCAAGAACAACCCTCCACAACTCACAGGGAGCTACTCGAAACCTTTTAAAGAGTTCGTCGAAGCATGCCTCAACAAGGATCCGGAAAATGTAAGTGCATTTCATGTTGCCTTTATCATCATCAATTCGGATTGTTCGGCTTGTGTTAGTCAGTCACGAACTGTCTATAACGGAATCTCGAGTATATTATGCAGTTTGTACTAAAATAGATGCGATAATAATGGGAATGAACTAGTTTACTGTAATGGACGGTTATTTATCTGACAAATCCACGAAACGGCAATCGTGAATAAGAAATTGCGTACTTAAAACCGTAATCAAATTGTCTGCAATATTGTATCATCAAAGCTGTCGCATTGGTAATCATTCAAGAGGCAGGCATCATTATACCTCGTGTTCTCGCCTAGTTTCAGTTTTATGAACAAAATTCTGGCTACGTGCCGACATTCTGCACTGCCGTTGTGCCTCTAGATAGGTCTATTCGGTTCGGCAAATTGAACTGTGTCACATTTCTCTACAAATGCAAGGTTGTAGTATTTTGCCACTGACGGTTTTTGGTGTTTTTGAATTTCAGAGGCCAACAGCGAAAGAGCTGCTAAAGTTCCAGTTCATCAGGAAGGCGAAGAAGAACTCGTATCTAATGGATCTTATAGATAGGTATAAGAAATGGAAGGCGCAGCGGAGCGAGGAGAGCGAGACCGAATCAGAGAACTCCGATTCGTAAGTATAACGCTTAGAATTTTCTTGTGAGTCATATAAGAATGGATGCCTTAAATTATTGAATAGAAAATAGAGCCCGGACTTGGAATTTTCCTTGATTGTTGTTCATCATGTTTGTGGAGCAATATTTATGAAGCGAGAAGAAACGTCGCGATGAGCTAATCGCTTGCTTTAGAAACAAACGGAGAATGTTGCGTATCAGGAATTCGTGTTGAAACTCAGTAGTCATTGTTCATTTAATGTTTTGGCATTCCTAGTACGACTAGTTCGTCATCATACAAGCGACAAAATCATATTTGCAAAATAAGAACTACGTTCTATAGGATAGTCATATTTGCTATGAATATGTCCATTACATTATATGAAAGGAAGAATCCGATGTTGATTTGAACAGCAAAATACTCTTCTCGTATTTTATTCTGAAATCTGTAGCTGATCGATATGTGTCTAAATTACAGGGAGGAGTGCAGTCGCGGCGACGGCGAAGCGGATGAGCCGTGGATCATGACTGTGCGTGGCACGGCAGGCGCACGCGCCGTCGCGCCTCTACCACCCGCTCCTGCGCTTGCCGCACACACGCCGCTCGACCACGACAACAAGCGGCGGCTACTCGATGACCCGGGTATGTTCACGAATTAAAATCAGATTTTTCTAATAAGACTATTTCACGAGTTAACAATGACGATGTTGTGCACAAACGGGTGCCATGGACAGACAATAGACAACCACAAATTATGCCCAAACTCACGATAGAAATAAATGTAGGCCACACAAATATTTCTCACGACCCGGGAATCGCACCCGTGACCTCGCGTGCCAGACCAGCATGGTAACCGTTCGGCCACAGAGGCAGTTAAAATTTAGAGTAGCAGTAGATCTCCTTGTGAAAGAGTTCGTCCAGGGTAGTACTGCTACTTTATCTATTTCTGCCGCCAAGCAGCAATGTCAGCGTTACTGTGTTTCGATTTTGAAGGGAAAAAAAGAAAAAGTGCTGGTGAACTTACAGGCACATGGAATTTGTCAACACGTCTTGCGGTGACGGGTGCAGTGGCAGTGCTCCTCAGAGCTTGCATTTAAAGCTCTCAGTGGCACAACTGTTATGGACAGGCGTGTAGCTTATATTATATTGATATTATAAAAAAAAATATTGTACATGTTCTAGGAAAGTTACGTAGACATTGAGGTATTTAATAAAATCGAAATCTTGTACTACTCAAACTTAAAATATATAAATAATGAAAATTATACTCGTGATTCCAGTAATTCCATCCCCGACGTCACCCACTGCGCCGAAGCAGAACGGGTCCCTGTCAGCGCGCGATGAACCGTCGCCAGCCGATGCATTAGCGCCCGCCATCACGCACGCCATTACCCACGCCAAGCCCCTAAACAACAACACTAGCGACAAACAATTGGTGAGTTTCTCTATATCTTATAAGAGATAAAAAGTTTAAATTTGTTTGTTCAAACAAACCAAAGTCTCGGGTTCTTCACAAGTCCCGTGGTCCCAAAATATTTATATGGTTAAAATAAAATATTTCGCACCCCTCATGGAAAAATAGCATAAGTGGAGTTACGTCAAAAACGTTTATTGCTCCATTAAATACAGAAAAATATAACCCTCTTTCTCTCAATTCTTTTAACGCTATCTACAATATTAGTCGATATTTTAATATTAGTGTGTATGTTATGCCTTATGCATGTCTTTGAAGGTTAGTGGTGTGAGTATGACCTACTTATCGACTGTTTAAAGTATCACGATGTGGCATTTGCGTTTTTATCTCAACTCTAGTATTTTTTTTACCTGACTGCGTTATCAATAGTTATCAATGCTTATTTACCTATTCCACTTCTATTAGCAGGGAACTGTTTGTTTACTATTGTTCTTTTAATTTCTATTATTTTTTTATTAAAAGACATCCAACAGCATACATTCTATTCAAGTCAAATAGAGTGTTTATTCTTCAAAAACGTGCACTAAGAACTGTAGTAGGCATAAAAAGGGCAATCCTGTAGAAACCTTTTTAAAAAACACCATGTAATGACGACGTACTCACGATATATTTATAAAATAGTTTATGCGCGTCAAAACTTGAGCACTTATGAGCAACGTACTGGCGGAGGCTGAGTGTTGGGAAACGTGGGAAAACTAAAATCCATTGACCACCGTACCGCGAAATCCGCGGGTAATAGGTACCTGATTCTACGAACATCTACCCACAAGCCTGAAAAGTGTTACAAGAGACGAAATTTTTTATGCCCGACTAAAACTCCTTTTATTGGATAATGAATTCTACAGTGTCGATAAGTTTCTTTGGAAACAATTGTAATTTTGTTTTACTTGACTTCGTTGTATTTCGACAGGCGGTAGTAGTAGTTATACTGCTTTATTTTATATTCATTATTATTTTTTGCGTTAGTGGCGATCATTCCATTGACATTGTATTTTGAATTGTAATATTGTGATATTAATCATTTGAAATAAATGATTCTCTTCTCCAATTCGAAATTAAAAATGTCAAATTATGTTGTATTAGTATAACGACTGTGAACTGGTAACCAATACTATCTCAATTTTAACAACTTTAATAGGTTGAAGAAAAAATCATTTATATAGCACCTGGTTTATTAAATAAAAATACGTAGTGTATATACATGTGTAATAAAAATATTTAAAGACTGCGTATTTTTATTTAATAAACCAGATATAAATGACGTAAACAATTTTTCTCTTCATCCTGTAAAGTTGTCAAAATTGAGATAGTACCGATTGCCTGTTCACAGCTCTTTAAGACAAA